GAAACAATGGTGATATAGCACATCTTATATTTTCCTGATTAGAGCTAGAACCCATACTACTAAGTGAAGTATCCCAAGAATGGAAAAACAAGCACCAGATATATTCTCCAGCAAACTGGTATTAACTGAGTAGCACCTAAGTGGACACATAGGTACTTTAGTAATAGGGTATTGGGCAGTGGGAGGGGAGGGGGGCGTATATACATACATAATGAGTGAGATGTGCACCATGTGGGGGGATGTCATGATGGAGATGCAGATTTTGGGGGAGGGAGGAAATGGATATTTATTGAAACCTTAAATCGTACCCCATAATATGCGAAATAAAAAAAAAAAAAACCTCTTCTTTTTTAATTAAAAGGTATGCTGCTGAAGCAACTTCACCACTGTGGATATATTTCCTAATCTCCTCAAGGAAGTAAATTTGCAAAGGCAGAATGTTTTGTTCATGTCATGCACTTGTTAACAAATTTGTTAATCAATGATTGTTCCTCAAAAATTTTTAGAGTAGCCTTTCAAATAATTCCACTTGTAAATAAACAGAACATTCTGAAACAGAGAAGACCACCAACAACTACTCTGTCAAGTTGAAATAAGGATGTAGATTTGATGCTGCCTCTATTTAGGCCACAAGAAAAGCACTAGACTACCTAAGAAGTCTACCCAGAAGATTACATGAATTTCAACATTTACCACAGGTAAGAATGAAGAGATAAGAACACAGAAAAGGAGGAATACATGAACTGTAAAATGGGATGTGAAAATGTGATGGAAATTTAGACATATCCATAAAAACAATTACTTTTTTTTATTTTTTATTTTGGTTGTACACTCACTACATCAAATCCTTCTTGACCCAAATGAGAGACTCTCAAGGAAAAAGTAGAATGCTGTGAAGTTAAGAAAAATAAAGAGGACAATAATTTATTCAAAAACTTTTCACTATACATCCACTAACTACACAGTATGGTAGTTAGGCCCCATAAGAACACATAAAATTCTCTTACAGAACACACTCTGTCCTCAAGAAAGCTCATCTAAACTAAGACAAACATGGAAAATAATCAACTGCAATACAAAACAGGAGCTACAATATATAACAAAGTATACACAAAATGCTAGTGAGGGCATCAGAAACGTAATTAAATTCCACACAATAGAAGGCTTCATGGAAATCATATTTAGCCAGTGCCATAAATTATAATTAGAGTTTTCATAAGTAAAGTATATTCCATTCTAACCAGAATAAATGCCATAAATAAAGGCACAGAAGCTTGAAAGTACTTCAGGATCTTCAGCCAATTCAATATGAGCCTAACATGTAAGATTCATTTACTCATCCAAAAACATTTAATAAAAATCTACCACATATCCTCATTAAACAGGTGCTAGAGACAAACCTCCTACCAGGTTCAGAGCTTACAGTCTAGTGGTAGAGATAAACATTAAACAATGTACTCATAAAACATTGTCTGATAATGATGTACGTTAAAGGGGGTTAAAAAGCATAATATTATAAAATGGGGGTAGGGATGGTAGTGGGAGAAAGATACTTTAGATAGGATGGTCAAAAGGGTCAGTGTTAATTGAGCATACTGAGCAAAAGAGAGAGGGTAAAGCATTCTCTCAACAGTGTCTTTTGTCTCTTTATAGGACACAGTGTTTCTTACCTTAGGCCTTTTGTCATTGCTCTTTTCTCTGCTTGGATTTTTGCATGGCTAACTCCTTTTCACTGTTCACTTCTTCGCACAAATGTCACTTTCTCAAAGATGAGAAAGTGGATGGTTAGTATTCTGCATTTTATTCTAAGTGTATTGGGAAGACATTAGAAGATATTAAGCAAGTGATGGTCTGATTTTTTTAATGTTATTTATTCCATCATCTACTCTTCTGGAGAATGATCCAAAAGGCTTATAGAATCAATTACAAAGTACACAGATGAACAGAGAGACCAGATGGAAGGTTACTGCAGTAGCCCAGGAGAGAAATTATAGCAATTAGCCTAGGATGATAGAGATGAAGAGAAGTAGGTGAATTCAAGAGAAATTCTGGAGGTAAAGCCAACTTAATACCAAATTACCTAGATTTTAAAATTCTATAGTCAGCAACTGGAAAAAAACTGTTGTAAAAGACTTAAGATGAGTTATTGTGTCTTCTACGTCTGCAGTAAGCCAGATTTTTAAAAATATTTATATTCTCTATGCCATAAAAGGTAGAGAACTAGAAAACAGGAGCAACTGCTACACATTTGCTAAAAGGAAAACAATATTATACCACAAGCAACAATAAATGTATAATAATTATGACCTTATCCTCTGAGGCCAGAGGAAAGAAACAGTATTTTGCCTTTTAAAATTAGAGTATTGTCTTTTATTAGAAATATACTTTGATAATGTTTTGAGATACTCATTCTTACATTCCCACTGTGCTCAATTTATAATAGGGAATACATTTCTGAGGTGTATAGCTACACTATATAGCTACATGTGAACATTAGACTTCTTTCCTGAAAATCACTGACTTGACTGGTCATTTAGTTAACTTTTGCCACTTCAGTACTGCATGTCATTAACACTGGCTTTGAAATACTCACAGGCACACAATGATAAAAGCTAACCAAAAATTCTGCAAACTACATCATCTTGAGTTTTAAAATGCCAGAAGAAAAAAAGAGAAAACTCAATTCCTAATTCTACAAGTTCTTACATAGTTAATTAGATAATCTTACCAATAATGACAAAAGCAAAAGGAAAGTACAGCTTGGTTGTAAATAGTTCCCTTCTGTCTCTAGAATTTACCTCAAAGAAGATACTTTTCAAGAGAGTAAGGAAGACTGAGCGCAGTGGCTCACACCTATAATCCTAGCACTTTGGGAGGCAGAGGTGGGAGGATCACTTGAGGCCAGGAGTTTGAGACCAGCCTGCACAACACAGGGAGACCAACTTAAGAAATAAAAAAATTTTCATTCCCAGAAATGTCAAAGTTGCTGTTACCTGCATTATAATTCATTAAGGAATTCATTTAGTGATTACTTTATAATCATTCTGGTATAACTCTAATCAACTATCTATTCATATATTCATCCATCCATTCATCCATCCAATTACCTATCTTTCAGCCCAGATTTATGGAAAGTCTGTTAGTTGGCAACTCTAGGCACCCTTATAGATTGCTTTATAGATTGCCATAGGGAGACAGAAAAGTGAACTGATAATTATAATGCAATGATTGTAAGCCTTAGTATAAAGGAATACTCAAAGATTAATATCAGGACAATGGTAGCGTGGGAAAGAAAGATAGAATATACCTTAGCATAAAAAGATTAAATAAAAATGCTCTTGTCTAAACTTGATAATACCTAATATTAAATTAAACACTATAATCATTTCAAAATAAACTATAAACTTGAAAGTTTTGGTTAGTTTAGCTTTATATTTTAAAAGGAAAACTCAAATAAAAAATAGAAAATCAAAAAATTTTGGACAGTATTTATTTAGAATTATTGTATTACAAAATAGAGTGCTTCCTTCCATTGGGAATCAGCAACAGCTGCAAAATGCTCAGTAATTTTTATTTCATATTTACTGAACATTGTATGTCAAGCAAAATCCAAGGCATATATAATTTAATCTTCAGTACAATCCTATGAGTTGAGAAATAACCCTATTTTATAGATGAAAATAATGAAAATAGGCAACTTGTTCAAGGTTACAAGATAAATTTTTCCTCTAACTTTACAATTGGTTATGTTAGAGGCAAATTTTGAATGTGAGTCTTCTGACTCCAATTCCAATGCTGTTTTCATTATACATAGTTACCGAATATACAGATTTATGGAATAAATTAGTAAAGTCATTTGTGTTATCAACTAACAATATTAATAACAACTAGCCTTATTTATTGAGAGTTTACTAAATGCCAAGCATTATATTGGATACTTTGTTCATATACTTCATTTAATATCCTCAGCAAGCTTGTGAGAGAGGTAAGTATTATCATCACCATTTTACAGATGAGAAAAAAAAAAGGCTTATTAGAGAGGCTAAGTAATTTGCTCATATCAAGCAGTTGGCTAAATGAATTAGTTGAGAGTCAAATCGAATCTACTTGGCTCCAAATTCCAAATCCTTACCCAGGACTTTATAATGCTGTCATGCTTATTTTTTTAACCATTTAAATGTTTTTATTAATATATAAAAGTTGTACATATTTTTGGGATACATGTGATATTTTGATACTTGCATACAATAAGCAATGATCAAATCAGAGTAATTGGGATATCTATCACCTCAAATATTTATCTTTTCTAACCACACTTTTTATACTACTCTAGTGAGACTTTCAAAATATAATTACTAATTTGGAAGTTATATATTTTAGAGTGGCTGAATCTTAAAAATCTGGATGTTAAAAACATATTAAAATTTATACACCAAAGCATATTATTTCCTAAACAAAAGAAACAACTTTATAGAAGTATCCAAACATATCACTGGCTTATAAAATCTTCCCTTTGAGTGCTAAAATAAACAAAATATAAAGTAAACAATTTTTAAAACCCAAATTAGACTTAAAATAGTCCAGAAGCTAAAAATGGCTTTCAACTATTTTTTTTAAATATATATGAGACAAAAAAACTGTTTGGAGGGAAATATAAATTGATATATTTGCTTTCCCATTTCATATCTATAGATAACTACTTTCCTAACAATATTTAGTATTTTCTTCTAAGAAATGTATTCCTACACCATAAGCTTAAAAATGCAGAAGAAAAACATAAAAGCCAATATCACACACAAAACTGTGTTGTACTTTGCAAATTATTTATTACTTTTCTCTTTACCCATACTGTGCACATCCATATTTCCAGACACCAACGCTAGATCAGACACTGTTTTTAAATATCTGAATATTTCAGTTCATGATAGAAATTATATAAAATTATAAAGCATAATCCTTGCAAAAATATTTTCAAACAAGCAATTAAAAATAAGGCTTACCATTTTGATGCCTGTGGAAAACGTCACTGGTTTTATAGGTTTGGGTTTCTCAATTTGCATTTCTAATTGAGTAGATCTATCTTTATGCTGAGCCAAAAGCAATGCAACAGGGAGATCAGAACTCTCCTGTAAGAAAAGCTCAAGTTCAATATGAAACTTAAAAAAAGAACAGTAAAGAGCAACAAGATTTTTATGTTAAGTTATGCCTTTTCAATAAGCATCTGATATCAAACAAAATTCACTTTATGGAGAACACTTTACAAAAAAATATTAACATTCCATAATAAAAAAGCCTGTTGTAGACTCATATATTAAAATAATCTGCAAATAAGTATTTTTATAAAATCCACATTAAAAGGTCCTATTTCATCTAGCAAACCAACAATATTTATTAAAAAAAAGTAGTACAAAGTATTATAACTTAGATCAGATGTTTATCTAAGACACATTCTTTTTAGCGATGAATTCAGACCGGTTCGAAATTGTTTCCCATTAGATTTCACCTGAGACTGTTTGGAAATGATCCTTGTTCTGTTTTGCACAATGCAACTATTGTAAGTACAACCAAAAGTATATTTATTTTCTCCCTTACTAACTTACTTTTAAAAATTAAGTCCAAATTTTTTAAATTAGACAATAAAATGATAAACATTTTTAATATCTTATATTGATACTAAATCAAGGCTGCTATTTACGCAAATCTGCATGCGCACAGACATTTTAATAACACAAGCAAATAACTAACTCTTATATGTAGATTGTTATTTATCCTGTTTAAGGAGAAATCCTCTTACATGTTTAAAGTGCTGCGGAGCTAAGGTCTAAAGGCAATAATATACAGACTTTCTCCTTTCTGAGTTGTCAGTTAAATAACAAACCAGGAACATAAGCAGAGGGAGGTCAGGAGAGAAGGAAATTGATATCTCTCTCTCTCTCTCTCTCTCTCACACACACACACACACACAGTAGTACAATCTATATCTGTAAACAAAGATGAAGGTACAAACACATTTCTATCTCCTATACCAAAATTGTCTGCAAAACAAACATTGTTCAAAGAGGCTATAGATCTTTAAAACAGTGACTACTCAGAATTCAATCCTGAAGAAACTCTGTTGTTAAAGTTTTACAGTACGAAAGCAAACATATAAGCAGTTTGTAATTTTCCTTCCAAATCTGACAACTTAATAATTTTTTTAGGCAAAAATGTGGCTTATTAACACACTTAAAAGAATTGTTTAAAGTTATAGTATAGAAGTAATTCAAACAAAATGCAATGTAATTCAACAGAATTGTCCTAGAATAAAGTTGGTATTAAGACTTTGTAATAGAAGAACTTTGCAAGAGCAATGTTTACAAAGATTAAAACCTGGGGAAGGAAGACGTGGTGGCTGAATCCTATAATCCCAGCGCTTTGGGAGGCTGAGGTACAGGATGGTTTGAGCCTAGGAACTCCAGACCTGCCTGAGCAACATAGGAAACCCCATCTCTACAAAAAATAAAAAAATAGCTGGGCGTGGTGGCAAGCACCTGTAGTCTTAGCTACTCAGGAGGATAAGGAGGAGGAGGATGGCTTGAGGCTAGGAGTTGGAGGCTGCAGTGAACTATGATGGCTCCACTGTACTCCAGCCTGGGCGACAGAGCAAGATTTTGTCTTAACAAAAAAAAAAAGTTGTTTTTTTTTTAAAGTAAAAACACAAATTTTATTTATAAAATTATTACAGAGATCTAGCTTTAACAATAATGAAGGTGAATTAGTGAAATATAGTATAGGTATTCTATACTTATTAATTACACTTATTAATAGAATACCTTTCATATTTGACAACAAAACACCAGTAATGTATTAGGAACTATATTGCTATGAATCCCTGTAGCTGTTCTAGATTTATATTAAGAATTTTATAATAAAACGTAAAATGAGAAAACATTTTAAATGGCCTGTGGCCAAAAATATCTTTTAAAGGCTAGTCTATCTTTTCATAGGTAGAAACTAACAAGAAAAATAAATTTCCTTGGCTAAAAAATTTAAGCAATGCTTTCCAATTTGTACTATAAATGAATTCAAATGTTCTTCCCTAACTGATATTTATTCTAAAAGTAACAGTTCTTATATAAAAGCAATACAACAAAACATGTTCACTTCAAAACACTTGCTATTCAAAACTTCAGCTTGTTTTAATACTGGCTGCACATTCACATAAAGGAATCTGAATGTTAAAATGTCTTGATAAAGAGCTGAAATTTAATAAAAATAAACATTCTAGGACTCTAAAAGCTAATTTGAATACTAAGGCACAGAATTTACTTCAAACCTACTTTATTCTATTTTAGCACTCAAAAGTTTGGAGCCTAGAAAATTTTTATTATACTAGAATTAAGCTGGAGTTCTAACAACAAAAAATATCTATAGAACAAAATAAACTATGTGAAACATACATGCTCTGGGGAATTCCTAACGTGCAGGTTTAGCCTTTCAAGTTATAATATTTCATTCTTAGCATTACATTTTACCTTGAAAGGTTCCCTAACCTATATTAATTGCCTGAAGGCACATTGTTTAATATTTAAAGAAATTTTAATAAGAACTGCCTGTAATACTCATTAAAAGCTTTATAATGACCATTTTTAAAAGATTATTTTAACTGACTTTAAGCAAGCCATCTGGCAAACAATATTTCTAATAAAAATCACCTACTGCGTTTGACAACAATATTAGCCCATACAAAATTTAAGACATAAACTGAAGAGAATTTTCAAACAGGAATATAAAAAGATTTAATAAGTCAGGACCTGTTTAAAAATCTTTTACCAAACTGTTTTTAAAAATTGAATTTACAGTTAGGATTAAATAAATGGACTTTTTAGCCAACATTATGGCAAATGCTAAGCCATAAACATTAAGACCATAACATTAAAATTCTGTCATACATAGTGTATAATGTAATGCGAATGCTTTTTTAAAAAGTTAAAAAGTGACTTTTGGCACAAAGACCAAAACCCAAAACAGGAGGAAAAAAATTATACTAAGTAGTACTTATATAAATTAGGTCCAGAAATAATTCTACGATTTAAGCTTCTAGACATACATATAAATGCTAACTTGTTTTAATAAAATCTAACATACACAGAAAAAGAAATATAATGTATTCTTTTACTTAGTTAATGAGAGTTTAAGAAGATAAAAAGAAACTTAATGAATTCATTAGTAATAAGAACTAAAAGTATGCTAACATAACAAAAATTTTAATAAAGATTGAAAAATGAATGTAACTAAAAATCTTTAAAAATAAATCTTAAAATGGAAACCAGAAATGCAGACTGCAGTGGTATTCTAAATGAATCTGTTATAATTAATTGTACTAATGAATACAGTAAATTACTAAGAATTATTTAACCACCATGTTATATGACCTAAACAGTGAAGAAAGTATGTGTAGTAATGATTTGCAGGTGAAGAAAACAGGAAGTAGGAGAAAAACTCACAAAAATCAATATTAACTCCAGATTATACACAATGTACAACAATGGTAGTTTCACATCTTGCTTCATGCCTCACTGAATTAAAGAGGAGCTTCATGCCAATAGCAGCTCAATGAAGCAGTTAAACTTAGTACTTTTGATGACTAAAAGGATATTGAGGAATAATTGCTATGCAAAGCTGGCTAACCTCAAAATAATATCTAAAAAACTCTTTATATTAGATGTTATGTTAATCCTTTTAACATAAAATGTTAAAAGTTTATTTTTATCTATGTCAAAGTTCCACATTGGGAATTAATTCAATTAATTCTATTTAGGAGAAGCATTATTCAGAAAGTGTGTTCCCCTTTGTATAAAATGATGAGGGGAAGAACTTTTCAATAAAACAAGTATAACACCCATATTTACAAATTTACTCTTTAAAGTCTGTAATATCTCACTATGCACATCTACAAAAATGTAAAACATGATGCATATATCATTTCAACTGTTAAGCCATAACTGCCACTTACTATATCAGTTTCAAGAAAGAACTAATAAAATTTTTTAAGGAAAATATCATTATTCTATTTAATATGTTGCTATCCTTATTTTAAAAATCACTTTCACATTCCATTCATAGAAAGTAGATGGAGTTTTATGATAAGCATTTTCTATCAAAGCCCCATTAATGCCCTTACCCTTATTTTTCCTTTTTACTTGCTTACCTACTTCTAATTTAATCATGCTTTCTCTTTTTATTTCTGGTTAACTAGCTTAAATGTTTTTTGGGGAAAAACACAGTAGAAAAATGCACAAATATACATTGATCCCATCACAAAACAAAAATGTATCAACTACACAGAGGGGCTAAATGTGTTAACACCAAAGAAATGTCTCATGAAAATAAATTATGTAAACAGAAAGGGAAAGGGAAGAGAATGCAGAAAGACTTTCCTGGAGAGGAAGATTTTCTAGTTTGTGATAACATCAACATCACACAGGATATAAGCATGAAATAATATGGTAATGAATCCACAACCATAAACCTTAGTTAATACTACCGCCATTTCTAACAACACGGACTGCTTAGGGAGCTAATTGCTGAAAAATGATAATTTGCAAAATTATTGCTATTTCTTTCAAATGTATGATTTTTTCATGCGAAAACATAAAATATACTTGTGTCACAAAGTAACCAGAGTCACCATAAACTTGGCACAGAGCCAAAATACTTGAACATAAGCAAATTACTAGAAAACTAATATTAATCAGGAGACAAATGCTTTGAAAACAATGTATTGCAGTCATTTAACTTAAAACCATATAAATAATCTATTAACAATATATTGGCTTATCTCACTTTTATTGCTATTCTCTCATCTGAAAATAAAATGAATATTAACAAAAAGTTTTTAAAAAATAAAAAATACAAGTAAAATACACCAGAACTTTATTTTAATATTATTCTTTTAATCCATGAATACTGCCATGTCCACAAACAATACCATGTCTTAGGGGAAATCACTTCAAATGCTTCACAGCAATTAGCAGGATATAAATATTGTAAGTGTAAGGGTAAGACAAACTACAATTAAAATCATTTTCATAATTCCTATCACTAAACTCACTTTCAGGTACAGAGTGAGTATCAAATGAATTTATATTAATATTATCCCAAGTTCTGAAAAAAAAATAATTTCTTTTTAAGCATTTACTACATGGATTAAAGATAACCACAATCCTCTCCTTAAGAGGTGGGATCTATAATCATTCTCCTTGAAACTGAGTAGACTCTTTTACTAATAAATATGATAGAATTGATGCTGTGCTAGTTTCTCATCCCAAGTCTTAAAACATTAATAGCTTTCTTAGTCTTAGAATATTCTCTTTCATAGCCCTCAGCAACCATGTAAGAAGCCCAACTACACTACTACAGAAACCACATGGAGAGGTACTCTGAGAATACATTGGAGAAGGAGAGAAGTCAAAAGATCCACCTGAATTCCTAACCCACAGAATTGTGAGCATAAAAGAATGTTGTTTGGGGAGAGTAACTTCTTATTCAGCAATAGATATAGTGATAGCAACAGATAACTATAAAACTAGAGCATAAACACCATGGAAATGCCATTTAAATGCCATTACCCAGCATAATAAATAGGAAAGGGAATCTCTGAAGAATAATTTTTTTTAAATCACAATCAGCATTAATACATACCAGTTCATCTAAAAAAGCCTGCTTATTCTTCCTTCTTAGAATCTGCTGCAGCTGTTCTTCTTTTTGTATAAATAGTCTTCTCTGTTCATTTTCCTGTCGTTCTACTTCTAAAGCTTCTTCCAATTCCTCCTGTTCCCGAGTCTAAAACAGAAATTTATATATGGCATGGAATAAATTTAGTAACCAAGAACAATCCTATACCGTGCTTTGATAGTTTCTTTATTCAAAGCCTAAAACACACTAGTCACTTGTTTAATAATGCAGCAATTACACTTTGAGGGAACTAGAATTCATTTTATTTCATGTGGACATGTTACTATTAAAGAACAAGTGTTCTATTATACCATACTAATGGGATTTGTGCAATATTAAGGCAACTTGGAACACATTAAGGGAATTTGAGAGATGGGTTTAGAAAGATGACTAGACACAGGCAAGTGAAGAGATCAACTAGGTTCAAGACTGATAATATGAAGACTAGTTAGAAGAATATTCAATAACCCAGATAAGAAATAACAAGGGCCCTAAATAAAGTAATAATCAAATCTGAGGAAGAACCAGTTTTGAAAAATGATAGTGTTCATCAACAGAACATGAAGATTGGCCAAACATGACTTGAACACATGGATAGATGCTGACACCATTCACTGAGATAAAGAACATCATAAGAGATATAATAGCCTAAGTAGAAAACTCACAAGAGACCAAGATGAACATTATATAATGATAAAAGGATCAACATATAGAAAGATATAACAATTATGAACATATATGCACCCAACATCAGAGCACCTAAATATATAAAGCAAACACTGACAACTGAAGAGAGAAATAGATAGCAATACAAAAATAGTAAGAGACTTCAAATACAAAAATAGTAAGAGATTTCAATAACCCACATTCAATAATGAATGAAATATCCAGACAGAAGATCAATAAGGAAACACAGGTCTTGAACAACACTATTGACCAAATGAACCTAAAAGACATATACAGAACATTCCACCCAACAGCAGCAGAATATACATTCTTCTAAAGCACACACAAAACTTTCTCTAGGAAAGATCACAAATTAAGTCACAAAACAAGTCCTAATAAATTTAAGATGATGGAAATTACATCAAGAATCTTTCTTGACCATAATGGGATGAAACCAGAAATCAACAGCAGAAAGAATACTAGAAAATTCACAAATATGCAAAAATTAAATCACATAATCTTGAACAACCATTAGGTCAAGGAAAAAATCAAAAAGAAAATTAGAAATTATCCCAAAACAAACAAAAACACAGCATACCAAAACTTATGAGACACAGAAAATGCAGGAGGAAGAGGAAGTTTATTGTGATAAACACCTACATTAAAAGAGAAGAAAGGCTGGGCATGGTGGCTCAAGCCTGTAATCCTAGCACTCTGGGAGGCCGAGGCGGCGGATTGCTCAAGGTCAGGAGTTCAAAACCAGCCTGAGCAAGAGCAAGACCCGTCTCTACTATAAATAGAAAGAAATTAATTGGTCACCTAATATATATAGAAAAAATTAGCAGGACATGGTGGCACATGCCTGTAGTCCCAGCTACTCGGGAGGCTGAGGCAGAAGGACTGCTTGAGCCCAGGAGTTTGAGGTTGCTGTGAGCTAGCCTGACGCCACGGCACTCACCCTAGCCTGGGCAACAGAGCGAGACTCTGTCTCAAAAAAATAAATAAATGAGAAGAAAGATCTCAAACAAACAACCTAACTTCACATCAAGAAGCTACAAAAAGAATAACAAACTAAGCCCCAAATTGGCAGAATGAAGTAAATAACAAAGCAAAGCAAAAATGAATGAAATAGAAAATACAAAAACAACAGAAAAAAATCAACCAAACTAAGAGGTGATTTTCTTGAAAAGAGAAACTAAACTTACAAACTCTTAGCAAGACTATGAAAACAGAAAAAAGACTAAAATAAATAAATTGAAGTGTAAGAGGAAACATCATAATGGATGCTAGAAAAATAGAAAGGATCATAAGAACTAGTATGAATACTTACATACCAACAAACTGGTTAACCCAGAAGAAATGGATAAATTCCTAGAAACATACAATCTACCAACACTGAATCATGAAGAAATAGAAAATCCAAAAAGACTGAAAACTAGTATAGAGATTGAATCAGTAATCACACCTAAGAAAATGCCAGAATCAGATGGCTTCACTGATGAATTCTATCAAACATTTAAAGAAGAATTAAACTTTTCAAACTCTTCCAAAAAACTGAAGTGAAGGGCATTTCCAAACTCATTTTATAAGGCCAGCATTAAAAGCGTGATACTAAAACTAGACAAATATACAAGAAAAGAAACTACAAGACAATATCCCTGATGAACATAAATGCAAAGATCCTCAACAAAATACAGCTAACTAAATCCAATAACACATTAAAAGGATCATACACCATGATCAAGTGGGAAATATCCTTGGAATGCAAGGATGTTTCAACATATGAAATTAATTAATATATAACATTAACAGAATAAAGAATAAAAATCATATAATCATATCAATACATGCAGAAAAAGAGTTTGATAAAATTTAACACCCTTTTACAATAAAAATTTTCAACAAACTAGGAACAGAAGGAAAGTATCTCAACACAATAAAGTCCATTTATGAAAAGTCTATTGTTAATATCATTCTCAATGATGAAAAACTGAAAGGATTTTCTTCTAAGATCAGGAACAAGACAAGAATGGCCACTCTAACCATTTCTATTCAACATAGTACTTACTGGAAGTCCTAGCCAGAGCAATTAGGCAAAAAAAAAAGAAGAAAAGAAATAAAAAGGCACCCAAACCAGAAAAAAAAGAGTAAAATTAATTGCTATTTAAAAATAACATGACCTCATATAAAGAAAACCCTAAAGAATCCATAAAACAAAATGATAGAACTAATAAATTCAATAGTTTCAGGGTATAAAATTGACATACAAAAATAAGTTGTGTTTCTATAAACTAACAACAAACTATCTGAAAATTAGGAAACTCCCACTTACAATAATAGCACCAAAAAGAATAAGATACTTAGGAAGAAACTTAACAAAGAAGGCGAAATACTTGTTTAGTGAAAACTATAAAACACTGATGAAAGAAATTAAAGGCAAACAAATAGGAAGACATACCATATTCATGAATTGGAAGATTTAACATTGTTAAAACGTCTGTCCATACTACCCAAAGAAATCCACAGATTCAATGCAATCCCTCTCAAAATATCAATGCCATTTTTATAGAAATAGAGAAAATTCTTCAATTCATATAAAATCACAAAGACCATGAAGAGCCAAAGCAATCTTGAGAAAGAAGAACAAAGCTGAATACATCACATTTCCTGATTTCAAAAACATATTACAAAGCTACAGTATTAAAAACAGTATAGTACTATTTATTGTATATTCCAAAATAGCTAGAAGGGAAGAATCATAATGTTCCCAATACAAGAAAAGATAAATGTTTGAGGTGATAGATATCCCAATTACCCTGATTTGGTCACTATACATTGTATACAATATCAAAATATCACATGTGCCACAAAAATACTTATAACTATGATATGTCCACTAAAAATACAAAAAGAAAGTATAGCACTGGCATGAAGACAGACATACTGATCAGTGGAACAGAACAGAGAACTCAAAAATACATACATGCATGTACAGTCAAGTGATCTTCAACAAGGGTGCCAAGAATACACAGTGGGGAAAGGACAGTCTCTTCAATAAATGATGACGGGAAAAATAGATATCTACATACAAAATAAAATGGACCCTTATCTTAACCCATACAAAAAAAATCAACTCAAAATGGGTTAACGACTCAAACATAAGACCTGAACCTGTAAAACTCCTAAAGAACACTTATAGAGACAGTTTCTTGACATTGGTTTTAGCAACAATTTCATGGATATGACACCGAAAACACAGGCAACAAAAACAAACATGTGGGACTCTATCAAACTAAAAAGTTTCTGCACAGCAAAGGAAACAACACAGTGAAAAGGGAACATATAGAATGGGAGAAAATACTTGTAAACCATATAACTGATAAGGGGGTTAATCTCCAAAATATATAAGGAACTCCTATAACTCAATAGCAAAAAACAAATAACCCGATTAAAACATGGGCTAAGGACTGGAATAGATATTTCTCTAAAGAAGACATACAAATGGCCACAGATATATGAAAAAATGCTCAATGTTACTAAACCAAGGAAATGTAAATCAAAACTGTAGTGAAATATCACCCCATACCTGTTAGAATGGCTATTATAAAAACGAAAAGATAACAAGTACTGGCAAGGATGTGGACAAATTGGAACACTTGTACACTATTGGTGGGAATGCAAAATCATGTAGCCACTATGGAAAACAGTATGAAAGTTTCTCAAGAAATTAAAAACAGTTCTCTCTGGTACTTTTCTTGCTAAAAAAGAAAGAAAGAAAAACTATATTAAAAAATTAAAAATAGAACTAACACATATGATCCAGCCCTTCTGGGTATTTATCTAAAGGACCCGATACCAAAATCTCAAAGACATATTAGCACTTACATGCTCATTGTAGCACTGTCCACAATAGCCAACATGTGGAAACAACCTATATATGCCCATGAACAGATGAATAAATAACGAAAATGTGGTATATAAATACAATGGAACATTATTCAGTCTTAAAAAAAGAAGGAAACTGTACAATATGTAACAGCATAGATGAACCTTGAAACATTATGCTAAATGAAATAAGCCAGTCACAAAAAAGACAAATATTACATGATTCCATTTATATGAGGTATCTAAATCATAGAATCAGAGTAAAATGGTGCTTACCAGGTGTTAGGGGGGAGGGGAAATGGGGTATTTACTAATCAATGGGCATAAGTTTCAGTTAAGCTAGATAAACAAATTCTAGATATCTGCTCTATAGCATTGTATTCATAGTCAATAATTTTTAGTGTATAATGTGTTAAGACAGTAGATATCATATTTAGTGTTCTTACCATAATAAAATCAAATATTTAAAAAAAACATAATAAAAGAAACAAGGAGGAGAATAAAGATAAAACATTTAGTTCTGGACATAGTAAATTGCAGGTACCTACAATATATCCAGAAAAAAATGCCTATCAACCATATGGAGATATATGGATATATTACATAATATAATTCTGACGATCAGGAGAAAAACAATGGGCTATGGAAACATTTGAGAGTAATCAGCATAAAGTAACTCATAAAGAGAATCACTGAGAGGAATCTATATTTAAAAGACAGCAAGGAAAGAAAAACTTCTTAAAAGGATGAAAGAGGAAAGGAAGGGCAGCAGATGAAGAGGAAAATGGAGTGGCTCCACAGAAGAGTTTCCACAGCAAAGAAAAAGCCTTCACCAAGCACTGCCCAGAGGCAAAATAAGATTCAGCTCAATAAAAAGTTTATTGGCTTTGACAACTGAGTAGCTTCAATTTTTTCACTGAAATAGAATACAAGTTTTTAGACATGGTAGACTCAATAAATATTGGTTGGCTAGCTACCTGATTGAATAATTTAGAAAATAGCCATCAATAAAAGTTAAGCATTGCGGGAGGACAATGAAGAAGATACTGGACTAAGATAAATAAAGCAAGTTAAAAAACTAAAGATCCCTATGTTCTTTCTAATGGCACTACCTTACCCAATCATCCTCCCTTTCTTTACCTCCCACTTCTAATAAATCAATAGGACTTGCTATTTTAAACTCAAAATCTTTTTCTCATTTATCCCTACCCCTCTATTCCTTAAATCATCTCTGAACTCATCTATATGACTGCAATAACTTGTAATTGGTCTGCCAGACTCCAGACTTGCTCCTCTCAAAACTCCGCAAAATCACTAAATTTATCCTAACAAAAAAGATATCTTATTACCATGCTGCTTTAAACTCTTCAACAGCAATCATCAAAAATTAGTTTTTATGGCCGGGCGTGGTGGCTCACGCCTGTAATCCTAGCACTTTGGGAGGCCGAGGCGGGCGGATTGCTCAAGGTCAGGAGTTCGAAACCAGCCTGAGCGAGACCCCGTCTCTACCAAAAATAGAAATAAATTAATTGACCAACTAAAAATATATATACAAAAAATTAGCCGGGCATGGTGGCGCATGCCTGTAGTCCCAGCTACTCGGGAGGCTGAGGGGAGGCTGAGGCAGGAGGATCGCTGAGCCCCGGAGATTGAGGTTGCTGTGAGCCAGGCTGACGCCACGGCACTCACTCTAGCCTGGGCAACAAAGTGAGACTCTGTCTCAAAAAAAAAAAAAAAAAAAAAAAAAAAAAAAATTAGTTTTTATAACATTATTCTAAGGAATCCAAGGGATTCCTAATAAGATGCCTTTAAGTAAACCAGAGAAAAGATTAAGCAGATGAGAATCCAGGCTATCCCTCATCCTGTTATCATTTCAACCATAGTACTCTGAGCAACCTTTCATTTGAAGAAAAGTTTTATCCACTAAAACCTAAAAACTGGTCTATATAAGCCCAGATTACTTGTCACAACATATAAGGTCTTATATATAATCTAGGTCCTTTCTACTTCTCCACCTTGAACCCTCTCTCTTTCTTGAACTTTGGCAGTATGGTACTTACAACTCTCAGAACTCTCTGTGATTATCCACGCCTTCCTGCTCTTGCTCATGACTTCTTTCTGCCTAGAATGTCTTTGTACCAGCCTCGTTACCTCCACCCCTGTTTTATCTTTTTCACCAGGGTAACTTCTACATGTCCTTCAAGGCACTATTCAAGCATTATCTCCCCTGGAATGCCATTCCCAATTTTCCAGAATGGATATGGTATTCTTCCTCTTTCTCCCATAGTAGTATGTACACAGCTCTTTTCATGTACTTATGACATGGTCCCTAGAGAATGAGGGCTCTTATTCACCTTTGTATATAATATGCTCACCAGATGTTCAAGAAATATTTATTAAACTACATTTTTTTTGGCCAAATTGTTAGACATTCTATACAGCAATCTCTGCTGCTCATGAGACTCCAAAAAAACCAGAAAATTAGGCTAATTTTCACTAAGACTTTGTTTTCAAGATTAGATCACCTTTGTTCAGTTTTTCCATAGCCACACTGATGTTAGATGCCAGCTCCATGAAATAAATAATATCTCCTCAGTGCACAATTCAGTAATCATTTTTCTGGGTCATAAATGGATGATTTTATGTGCTGAATCATGCAAGAGGCAGTATTTTTCTTTCAGAATAAAAATAATGATATTTCTGGAACAGTGAGGCGATAAAGGCCATTCACAGACACAGCAAAGTCCAAGTTGCTACCTCAGGTTACTATAAAGATATCAGCCATGTAAGTTGGCTCGGGCTCCAAGAACCACTTCAGGGCTTATTCTACCCAATGATTCCATACTTACTGACATATGTTAACTACACCATCCTTAAAAATGTGATCCTAAGTCTGTATGTCAATACCAAACTCTCAGGTAGGTATCACTAGCAAGTATAATACAATACTCTGTATAGAATGACCAATTAATAAATGATACTGAATTACACACCAAAACACTTAGTTATAACATATCCAAGTGCTAATCATTAATACAGTATAAGAGAATAAAAGCAGTCCAAATAAACTCATTACAACATGCCTGGAATGTTTTACTCAATATCCTATCATTATAAAGTTCTCAAATAATTAAAAATTCCTATTTTTTAAATAATACAGGCCAAGCAAAGTGACTTGTGCATGTAATGCTGGGAGGCCGAGGTAGGTGGTTTGCTTGAGGCCAGGAGTTTAAGAACAGCTGGCACAGCATGACAAGACCCCATCTCTACCCACCCCCTCAAAAAAATCACAGCTTCACCTCAAAGAAGGGTCTAAAAAAAAAAAAAAATCAGCCAGGCTAGCACACACCTGTAGTCTCAGCTACTCAGGAGGCTGAGGCAAGAGGATTATTTGAGCCCAGGAGTTTGAGGTTGCAGTGAGCTATGATCATGCCACTATATTCTAGCCTAGACAATAAAGACAGACCCTGTCTTAAAAATAACAGTAATAATACAATCAGTCTAGAATTAAATTATTTTTCATCACAACTTTCAAGATTATTCTCTAGCTTAAAACAATGGATGAAAAAAAGCACTCACTTAAAAGGAACAACCTTCTATTATTGAGTTTAATAGAGCTAATGCAACATGTTACCTAGCAATATCTATTTTGCATGCATCTTCTGATAAACCCAGAGAAGGCTACTGGGCAAGGAGAGTAATGTTTATGGCATATTGATGTTTTCAGAAATGAGATACCTTTTAAGAAAGCTAGGATGGTTATGAATGGAATGAGAATGTAGCGTGAATTCCTTGAGTACTTTATGGCAGGAAAGAAGTGCCTAAGTGAAACACTGTAAGATTATGAAGAAGAAGTCCCTTCTAAACACAACATGAAAATATAAGGTACATGATCCAAATATACATGTATCATTTTTACTGAGGATTACAAATTCCTGATAAAGCACCTCAAAAATAATTACCTCAGCTTTCTCCCAAAACTAGAAAGCCAAGCTATACTCAAGAAATGATTTCTTTGGCCGGGCGCTGTGGCTCACGCCTGTAATCCTAGCTCTTGGGAGGCCGAGGCGGGCGGATTGCTCAAGGTCAGGAGTTCAAAACCAGCCTGAGCAAGAGCGAGACCCCGTCTCTACTATAAATAGAAAGAAATTAATTGGCCAACTGATATATATATAAAAAATTAGCCGGGCATGGTGGCACATGCCTGTAGTCCCAGCTACTCGGGAGGCTGAGGCAGAAGGATCACTCAAGCCCAGGAGTTTGAGGTTGCTGTGAGCTAGGCTGACGCCACGGCACTCACTCTAGCCTGGACAACAAAGTGAGACTCTGTCTCAAAAAAAAAAAAAAAAAAAAAGAAATGATAGTAGCTAAATCATATAAATTAGATAATTGCATCTCTGTATGAATACAATTCTTTTTCCTTTATAGAATGTATTTTAATAATGAATTTTAAGTCCTGAAATATTTCAAAACAAATCTCAACATTAGATAACTATACAAACCAAAATTATTTTTGCATGTGACAATGTTACTATTTCAGTAAAACAAAAAGGTAACTAATAGAGAAACCAAAGTTAAGCTTATCTTACAAATTTGTTCCTCTGATTTAATTATGAATTCTCATTTTAGTTTCTAATAAATAGTGTCCTTGTTATCTCCCTCTTGAGCTCCATCTGTCTGGATTTTCTCCCTCCTTTAGATGAGAAGGAAATTAATGTCCAAGGATAAAAATGAACCTCCATTGTTTTATGATCATTGTCCAAAAGCCCACTTACCAGAGAATTATACAGACAGGCAAAAATAGCATTAACCACCACCACCCACCTGAAGAATGCATAGTCTTAATGTAAGTTGTTTTTGCTACAATAATGTGTACCTACCTACCAACATACCTGTATAACATATATTAGTATTTCTGGCCTAAATTTCAGTTAAATTCCTTGTTAATGTAACAACTATTAAAAGAAGATAATTTTTTAATGTATCATTTGAAAATATGTTTCTAATACAAAAGAAAATGAAAATAGTTAGCAACCAACCAGCTTTAACTTATTTTTCTGAATAACATCTTTGTTTTCCTTTTGGTATATCTCCATTTTCTTTTTGGTGTTGTCCAAATCCACATTGTTGGTCAAGTTGAAAACTGCATTGGAAAGGAAACAATGACACAAAATACAGTTTTAACATAAATCTTGAGTAGATCATAAAAACCAAATATTAATCACAGTGACTTCTTATTCATCGACTTGTCATTCTTTATAATTCTATTTGTGACCTTTAATCTGCTACCTATTTTAGAGACAAACTCTAATAGTTATGGCAACCATGTTTTCTGAACCAAATATAAGGACAGACTGTCACACAGAATATCTAAATAACAGGATCACTCCAGAAAACATTAGATTTGATTTTTATAGTCCCCATTCTAACTTTAAAAGCATAGAAAAGATTGTTTAAATTTTTTAAATAAAATGAGTCAGTCTGGGATCGACTTCAATAGTTAGAATCAATACTGAAAAGAATCTGTGCTCCAGAAATAGAAAAATGATCTGAAAGAATTAGAAAACCATGGATTTGTATAATTTATATGAAACAAAAACAGGTTTTATTCACATTCCAATTGTCTCAACATGACTAGGCACAAGCTAGAATTATTTTCCATTAGTCTAGATCTAGACAATATCTAGATCTAGAAAAGTATGAAACAGAAAAGAGTTGAGGAAATCAGTACTTTAAGACATGTCTGCCTTTTCCTCATTTGCCAGCAAATTAGTAAACTTCTCCTTTCCTTCTCCTCAAGCTACTTGTTCCTGTTCTGATGCAGCCTCAGGGACTAGTGCTGAAGTTTCATTAACAGAATTTGGCATCCCTGGGTGGGCCCATCAGTGCCCCAGTGGAATGGAACCCCACAATTGAAGAGGCAGGGAGCAGCCCCCGTTCAAACCATGGATCTTCACCACTAAAGAGCAACTTCTTTTTTGAGGTGAGAGACTAAGCAACAGCCCCAGCAGCTGCTGCAGCCTGTTTTAGCTCCAGGGAACTCCCATTTCTGTCTCCCCAAATTAGACACAGCTCCCCCACCACCTGAATTTGTTGGGGAAAAAGAAACAGATTTGGGAACTGCTGTGAGAACCTCAACAATTTTGTTTAAGTTCCCCAGCAATTTTGTTTAAGTTCCCTTGCACGCCAAGACCCTTGATTCCACCCATAGCACTGTTTGGGGTGGTTTGGATTTGGCTGGTTCTTATTTTGAGTGGTTCCCATTTGTTTGGAAGACCTTGGCATTTTCGATTGCTTGTGTTGAGAATTCCTTATATTTTCTGTGTTTGGTTGTTTGAGAGTTTTGTTGCAATACAAGGAAGCTCCATCTGAAAGCTGCTTGGGGAGAATCTTGGCTGAATAGCCAACCTATAAGTCTATGTCTAAAAGAGAATGGTGTTACTGTAATCCAATGTACGTGCTAGAGTGTGAGAAGTGGCTGTTGAATGAAACCTTAAATTCTATTTAAAAAAAGAAAAGAGTTGAAACTTGAAAGGGAAAGCAAAAGATAAACTAGATAAACCAAAACTTAGACTAATTTCTTAAGAGAAGCCACTGAGACATGTTCAGACACTACTAAATGTTCAGTGACTTAAAATTCTCTTTTTATAATTCCAACTCAAAATAATATGAATTATTAATGTCATACTCCCTTTTTTTGAGACAGAGTCTCGCTCTGTTGCCCAAGCTAGAGACTTCCTTCTAAGTTTACATATATAAATCAAAAGTTTACTATGATACTCTTTATTAAAAAAGCTTTTTAAAACCTCTTCTGATATATATAAACTCACATACTACAAAGCACTGCCCCACTACTCAACCCTCTACAGTCAGCATCAGCCTGTCCAAGGAAGAATCCACATCAATAAGGCTTTCCTGTTCCATAATTCAATTCAGGTCTCCCTGAGCTTCTCCTGTAATCTTTTTCTAAATCTTTCTCCATATGTTATTAGCCTTTATACCCCTTCTCCAGTTACTTACCACTGCTTCCTGCTTCTTGTCCTAAAACGAGATAGATCTACCCTAAGTAACTCTACTCTATTGCTTGGGTTTCTACAGATTGATATATACTTATACTAGTTTCTTACAAAACTAAATATATTCTACCATATAACCCAGCAATCAAACTCCTAGGTATTTATCCAAATGAGCTGAAAACTTAAGTCCATTCAAAAAACTAAATACAAATGGTTCTATTAGGTTGATGCAAAAGTAACTGCAGTTTTAGCATTGTTGAAATTTGCCACTTGATATTGGAATACATTCTTAAATGTAGTTATGTTATACATACTTTTAATGCACATTTCTCGCTTTGTTTTTTTGCTAATAACTTATTACTTGCTATTTATTTCATATTTATTTTAGACTATGGAAATGATGTTAGACAAAAATCAAATTCCAGTGATTTTCTTTCTTTTTTTTTTTTTTTTTTTTGCAACAGAGTCTCACCCTGTTGCCCAGGCTAGAGTACAGTGGTGTCACCCTAGCTCACAGCAACCTCAAATTCCTGGGCTCAAGGTATCCTTCTGCCTCAGCCTCCTGAGTAGCTGGGACTGCAGGCATGTGCCACCACGCCAGCTAATCTTTTAATTATACATATTTTTAGTTATCCAGCTAATTTTTCTATTTTTTTAGTAGAGGTGGGTCTCGTTCTTGCTCAGGCTGGTTTCAACTCTGAGCTCAAACAATCCTGCACCTCAGCCTCCCAGAGTGCTAGGATTATAGGCATGAGCCACCACACCTGGCTGTCGAGTGATTTTCTTATTCCAGTTCAAAATGGGTGGTAAAGCAAAATGGAGATAACTTGTAACATCAACAATGCATTTGGCCCAAGAACTGCTAACAAACGTACAGTGCAGAGGTGGTTCAAGAAGTTTTGCAAGGGAGATGAGAGCCTTGAAGATGAGGAGTGCAGTGGCCAACCATCAGAAGTTGACAACAACCAATTAAGAGCAATGACGAAGCTGATCCTCTTACAACTACACAGAAGTTGCCCAAGACTTCAATGTCAACCATCCTATGGTCATTCAGCATTTGAAGCAAATTGGAAGGTGAAAAAGCTCGATAAGTGGGTACCTCATGAACTGACCAAAAAAAAAAAAAATAGTCATTTTGAAGTGTCATCTTCTCTTATTGTACACAACAACAATGAACCATTTCTCAAATGGATTGTGACATGTGACAAAAAGTGGATTTTATACGAAAACTGGTGACATCCAGTTCAGTGGCTGGACCAAGAAGAAGCTCCAAAGCACTTTCCAAAGCCAAACTTACACCAAAAAAAGGTCATGGTCACTGTTTGGTGGTCCAGTCTGATCCACTACAGCTTTCTGAATCCCGGAGAAGTCTTTACATCTGAGAAGTATGCTCAGCAAATTAATGAGATGCATTGAAAACTGCAATGCCTGTCACCAGCATTGGTCAACACCACACATCATACAATCAACATATCAATAATTGAACAAATTGGGCTACAAAGTTTTGCCTCATCTGCCATATTCACCTGACCTCTTGCCAGGCGACTACCACTTCTTCAAGTATCTTGACAACTTTTTGCAAGGAAAACACTTCCACAACCAACAGGGTGCAGAAAATGTTTCCAAGAGGTCATCGAATCCTGAAGCATGGATTTTTATGCTACAGGAATAAACAAACTTATTTCTTGTTGGCAAAAATATGTTGATTGCAATAGTTCTACTTTTGATTAATAAAGATGTGTTTGAGCTAGTTATAATGATTTAAATTCAAAACTGCCAAAACTGTAATTTTGCATTTACCTAATAGCAGCTTTATTCATAACTGCCAAAAGTTGGAAGCAACCAAGATGTCCTTCAGTAAATCCAGAAATGGATATTATTCATTGCTAAAAAGAAATAAGCCAAATTAAAAAACAAAACTATGAAGACAGTTTAAAGGTCAGCAGTCAACAGGGAAGGAAAGGATGAATAGGCAGAACACAGAGGACTTTTAGGGCAGTGAAATAACTCTGTACGGTACTATAATGGTGGATACATGTCATTATATATTTGCCAAACCAATAGAACATACTTTATCAAAAAATGAACTATGTAAACTATGGACTTTGTACAATAATGATAGGCCAATGTAGTTCATTGATTATAACAATGTACAACTCTGGTACAGGATATTGATAGTGGGGGAAGCTGTATGTGTGCGGGAACAGGAGTATAGAGGAGTGTATACTCTTATAGATCATATTTTTCTAACTCATCAATTTCGTATATAACATTGTCCTAACCATGATGAAATGTAAACCTCATCAAACATGCTACTAATACCAAAAATAAATAGGAGCTTATATAAATAAGATATATTTACTGTTTGGTAAAAAATTCATAAAAATGCTTGTTGAATTTATGACGTCGACTCGATGATGAAAAAATGAATTAGGGGTTTAAAGTCTACAATGGCTAACTATGGATAGTACAATAATGAAAATTATTTTAAAGACTAATGTTCCAGATAAAATGAAGACAAAACAAATCAATAATATTAGTTTAATTAAAATCTTTATAATTACAATGAAATGTAAAGTAGGGAAATTCATACTATAGGACAGGAATATCTTTAGTTTCGGTCATGTGAAAGCACTAATGTGTATGCAC